AGAGCCATAAAGGAACAGAATAAAGTGTCTTTTTTGGCAACAGTATATTGTGAAATCGCCTTGCTCACAATACTGCCTCCTCCTTAGCTTGAGGTTGTGCTTGAATTCAGTCTAAGTGGTGATCCTGCCCTTTTCGTGCCTTCAGCTACATAATTTCAAGCTGGCACTAGCTAACACTTCTGTAGCTATGCAAAGAGTCAAATCAGGCAGATGGTCTGTGTGACAACTAACTTGGGGGAGAGTGTGCTGAAAACCTGGACAGAGTTCTAGGTAGCCTGATTTGAGCAGGGACGGGGGGAGTCTGTTAACTCATCTCCAGAGTTCCTTCCAACCTCAATTCTTTTATGACTTGATAAACTGAAAATAACTTCAGTCTGTTCCCCACATAACAAAATAAGCTGTTAAATGTCCAGAGCTTGAACACTAACTTGACTAACGTGTGCTGTAAATATATACAATGGTTCCAGGAGATTTTATAAAGGAAACGGTTTGAGATCTATGTTTAATTATGAGGACTATTACTTAAATGGGGAATTCTAAGACTGTTGTGTTTGATGATATTGTTGAAATGCTAAACAGATGATTTAAGCAGGTCAATATTTCAACTACAATTATGTAATAGAAAATTGTATATAATTCTCTTTAGAGCAAGAAACAGCACATTCCTTATCGAAACAGCAAGCTTACTCGTTTACTGAAAGATTCGCTGGGAGGAAATTGCCGAACCATAATGATAGCTGCGGTTAGTCCATCCTCCCTGTTCTACGATGATACGTACAATACTCTTAGGTACGCAAACCGAGCAAAGGATATTAAGTCTTCTGTGAGTATTTTTATATTTATTTATGTATACTATTATAGTACTGAGAGAATGAACTATTTCTCTTTTAATTATTTTTCATGTATAATATTAGTAATATTTCATCAAAGAAGGAGCATTAGTGGGACTATGTCTTAAAAGGCTACCCTGCAGGATGAGCTCGTTTCTGTGAGATTCAATTTTTGAGCTCTTAATCTCTTAGCTCATATAATTCAACCTCAGGTACTTAATGTTACGTTGCCTAAAGGAGTCTTGGGAAGTACGTTACCAATGTCTGAACAGCTGTACTAGGTTTGTTACATGTAGTTCTTGTTTGGAGTGAGTAAGCTGAACTACCTTATTGACAAATGCAATGCTGCTGGGCTAGTTGCATTCTGTTTCTTTTGCATAGTATCGGGTTTGCTATAGTTTCTGTTTGCATATTTTTAATCAAAAATACCTTTTCATAATAAGATCTACAAAGCTTGCTTCAAATGATAAAGCTAGTTAGAATGCAGAATTTCCTTCTGTGTGTGAGTGTAATAAGCTGTTATTAAATTACATCTGCAGTAGATTAATACAGAAGTGAAGAAAACTTCAGTTGTTGTGCAAGTTACTATTTTTCATCTTTTCTCTTATAATAGAGTACATAGGTAATTAAGCAGTATTTAATGTAGTGTAAGTATTATGCAAGAAAAAGTGAAGGAGGCTTTTTATATTCAACTCCTTTCTATTCTTTAACAGTTGAAAAGCAATGTCGTGAGTTTGGACAGCCACATAAGCCAGTACGTTAAAATTTGCAATGATCAAAAGAAAGAGGTATGTCAATATTGTTTTTGCTCTAAGTTTGAAAAAAAGAAAAAAGTTATGTAACTGAACCCTTAAGTCAAGTGCTTTCCTAATCTTATTGTATAAATTTGAAAAAGGAGATACATTTTTTTTAGTTGCAAGCACAGAATTATGGTTTAAAAACAGATTGGCAAAAGCCAAACTTATGCTCCGACTGACAGGTATTTTTTTTTGTTCAAGATCATAATGTTGAAAGAGAAACTGAGAGAATATGAGGAAAAGCAAGCAGCCATTCCTGAAAATCGTAATATGGCAGTAAAGGAGCAAGAGGAAATAAAAAGGTGAACTGATCATATTCAAGTCTTAAAAACCAGAGTTTGCACAATTTATAGAATAATTTTTTTTCCATATTAGCTTCATCATCAATATTGTCTTGTTTGGAATAAATATAACTTTGCATAATTACTGATTCTTTTCAGATGATGGATTTAAGCTGAAATATTGTATATGTGAGGAAGTATCTTAGTATCAACCTTCTAGGCAAATTATACAGTAAAACTGCCAGAGTAATCATGTGCTCTGATCAGCAAGAAGCTGATGTGATTCACTTTGACACCACAGTCGAGATCAATGGTGAAGGTCTGACATCTCTAGCTGCTTTCTGTTAAGAATCTACTAGACTGACAAAAGCTTGGGGAAGTGTTTACTTTTGGTGATTTAAAGTATTATATCATAATGTGTTTATAGAAAAGATAAAATGAGAAGTCTTAATTTATCCTATTTGCAGCTGTTATTTTAGCTATTTTTAAAAATATTTCACTATAAATTGATTTTGAGTCACTTTGACTTCTTATGTCTTAATTTTCCCTGTTATCCCTCATCTGAAAGCTTGCTTTTTTTTTTTTTTTTTTTTTTTTTTTTTTTTTTTTTTTTTAAGAGATCTCTCCAAAGCTGAAGTGTAAAGTTAGTGGTGTCCTACTTGATAAAGATGAGAGGGTGTATGTGAAAATCTTGGTAGCAAAAACCTTCTGTGCAACTCTTGCTGATGTCTGAGGCGGGTACAGAGGTGGGACAGGATCATTCACTAGGGTGTTTTCAGGAAGAACCCTGACAAACTGGTTCAAGTTCAGCAATGAGGAGTTAACTGCCAGACCCATAATCAAATGAGGGGGAGGGGGGAAAAAAGTGAAAAATCCTAAGTAGATAAACAGCTGGTCTATATATACCTAAGCAGTATTCTGCAAATAGAAATTGAATGGTAGATGTACAGTATAGCTAATGTTATATTTGGGAGTTTTGTCATCAAAAATGTAATATAGTTAAGGGGGAGGGAAAATGAACCTAATGTCAGAAAAAGTTTGCTAATAGATCTGCCCATAGAACAATTTTTTGTAGAAGTCCATCTAGTTGAACTTGGAAATATAGACAGTCCTGAAATAAGTAATGGAAACAACCCTTTTTAGGTAGGAAGCCTATTTTCATGCCACAACAAATATAACAATATCTTAGAAGAATCTTACTAGTAGTTTTAATTATAAATTAAGAAAGGGCTTTAGACTTTTAAAATGCATCTGACATTTGGGGAAGGAGAGGGAAATACTTATAGGCTCTGTTTTAACGCTCCCAGAAACGTGTTGCTGAATAAAATTGACTCTTTCTTGCAACATGTAAAAGTATAAAACTATTCCCTAGGTTCTAATGCTGTTTCTGCTAACAGTTTGGCTTGTTTGTACTGCCCTCTTTTTGAGGAAAATGACAAGAATGCTAGCTTTCAGCAAAGCCACTTAAAAGGTCATTTTTGTGGGTTGATAGAATTCAGTTTTCATAATTGCCAGCAGCTGCTGCAACTGCTGGCAGGTATCTCTTCAACAGTATCCTTTTTGTGAGGGCTGAGAAAGGCAAGAAAGCATTTCACAATTTCACTCACATCTGTAGACTCCTTAGTTTCTATCTTTTTTTTTGTACTTGCCTGCCTCTCTTCTGATGTGATGGGCCTTGAACAAACTGTGACACTTGGTATATGAATCTGATGTTAATGGCACTATTCCGTAAAAAGATTAAGCTTTGGTCTGAAAGTCATCTTTTGATCTCCTTGAATATTTCACGGCATATATATTTTTTGGAAATTATTCCAGAAATATAGGTTGATTCATCTAACTTTTTTTGGCCCATTGTATGCGTTTTTTCCATCTGAAGTACTTCCTAGAGCGAAAGTAATACTCCATTCCTGCAAAGTACAGGTTTGCCTAACAAAACAAAAATATTAATTCAATAGTGCACAACATGATTCCATCCAAAATAAGCATATCTATAATATATCTGACAGTATTATCTGTCATTGCAAACAAATTGCTTGCCAATAGGTTAGAGCCTTCGATAATTTTAAAGGCAAAATAATCTGTTAAATTTCTTTAGCTTAACTTTAGCCTGCTAAGATTCCTGATGTGTCACATAATCTTTTGGAGAAAAGAAATAATGCTTTGTTTAGAAATAAATTATGTGCAATGTTTATTTGCATTATTGCAATGTCTGGATTAAATCCAAAAAAAAATAGGTCTCTGTAAAAGGAAGTATGTGCACATATACAGGTACTCTAAGAGATGCAGATCGTCTACCAATTCATATTAAAGTAAAAGATGTGTTTTATTGAGGAGGGGGAGCAAAATGTCTTCTTTGTAAGGAAAAAGTAAAGTCTGGGGCAAAGGTGTTCTTTTTTGAGGGAGGAGAAGGATAGCTCAAACATTTAAACATATTTAACGTTTATTTAAAGTATTTAACATATTTAACATTTTAACATATTTAAACTTCATTTTTGAGGGGAAAAATTAATCTTGGTTTGTCATGCTTATTTCTGACAGTTTTCCTACATATTTTGTGAGAGGGAGGGGAGAAGGTTATTTTAATTTGTCTTAATTTGCCCTTCATTTCATTAAGTGCGTATCTGAAGAATCAGTTAAGGGCCAGGTACCTTAAAAATGCTGTACATACCCTATGTTAATACTTGTTGGTAAAGAGAATGTTGTTAATCTCTGGAGTGTCATGCATAGAAACTTGGGTATGTCTAGATCCTGTCTTGTTCATTCTCATAATGTGGATGATAAATTAATTCCCCAGTATCCATTGACCCATTTTGAAGACACTATAGTAACTCTTCTATTTGGGATGAGGTAAAGCAACTTTATTCTATTGCTTTGTCTCTATTAGGTATCAAGAAATTCTTAGAAATGTGTTTGCAAACCGTGAAGAAATCAGAAAAGAATATCTCAAGTTGGAAATGCGCCTGAAAGAAAATACACTAAAGACTAATTACCAGAAACAATGTCACGAACAAATTCAACTGATGTGCTCTGAAGAAAAAGTAGAAAAGGTGAGTTGTCAGCGATACTATATTCTATTTGTCTTTATTTTTTTGTGTAAATGTATGGATTTTGGCTTAAATGTATACGTAATTAGTACTAAATGTTTAAACAGATAAAATAGGACACAGTGCTTAACATGCTTAACACTTAAATATTTTTTGTGTACACAGAAAATGTGGTGTTTGTCAGGTATGTTAATTTTTGCACAGCATGGGCGAGTGTTGATTTTCATATTGCTGCTAATCAGGGAAACTACAAATTGTCTTGATTGTCATAATTATTTTTAATATCTGACTAGATTTGGGAAACTCCTGGTGCTTTTTTCCAAAACATATTAATGTATGTATGATGTACACATTGGAGCCATTATCAAACTTGAGAAACGTCTGACCTGAGTAATACTTTTTAAGGAGAAACATTGACATTGACAAGAAAGATTGCTGGTGGTTGTGACTGTCACCTGTAAAAGCTTGACTTGCTTAAATATAGTCATGTGAAATAAAGTAGTTAAATTTAATTGTCCTTTATTTAAAGAAAGAACTTTAGGGCCTAGTAAAAATCATTAGTGTTGCACAGCACTGAATGATCAAATTTTTCCAAAAGAATAATGTATAGACAAGTAAGCATTTATCTTAACTGACTTTTTTGAGGCAACCTGGTTTAAAATTAATGTGTTTTACGTAGATATGAAGCTAGGCTTTTGCTTAGTCACTGTAACAATCTGTATTTGGCCAAAATAATACAACTTCTGATATGTATGTGTGATAGTGGTGGTCTTTTTTTTCTCCATAGTGATTCATGTTAAACTTGGTCCTTAGTTAAATGTCAAAGTGAAAATATGTCATCTTTTTAGGCATGTCTTTTTCTTGTCACTAATGAAGATATTTCAAGTGACTTACGTATTCTAGAATTCTTTTAATGTCATAGAAAATATGAAATACCATCTCCTATCCTGTGCCACTTAAAAAAAAAAAATGCTTGCAATCGAACATAGTTGTATTTTTATTTTTAATGTAGAAATTGATATTTATAGATTATATGTCATATGAAGACTTGTTATGAAGACTTGTTATGAGCCAATTTACCATTTATATCAAATGTTGCCACTACTGCATCAAGCTGTTATTTTTAGTTAACTTATATGATTTAGTAAGGATCAAGTGTCACTGTCCCATAAGTACAATGACTTAGTTATTAAAAAGAGTAAGTCGCTGTAATGGTACAATTAAATGTTCTTTTGAGACTGATTTTGCTGGAACAAATTGGATTTTAATTTGGAATTCAGTCATTTCATTATTAGAGTGACTGCTCACGTTTCCCTGGTGCGCTATAATACTTCTGTCCTTCCATGTATTTTTTTCAACATTTACTCTTTTCCTAAATGCCTCTGGGTTTTCTCTCTGTAAAACACACTGTAAGATCACAGGGGTATTTCTAAAATACTAATTTTTAGAGGAAGATATTCACTTATAAAAGATTTTTTACTTGACGTTCACTTGTTCATGCTTGCTGACTAGCTATAATAACCACAATAGCTAAATTAATGTGAAGCAAATTTATTAACTGTACTTGCCCAAGCTCTGTTTGCGAGTTTCAATTCAAAAAAGAAGAGGAGAAGAGGGATTAATGTATCAGCTTGGACTAGCTCCATTTGTTTTAATGATTTCCTCCTTGCTGTAAAGATTTTGTTGTACACAATGTTGTGAAATTTAACCCATTCCAGACTACTACTGGATCATTTCCTTTTTAAGAGTGTGGTTGCTGTCCCTGTGTTTTAGGTACTTTTAGCCACCTTACTTGAAGCAAATGTTTATGCAGTTTTGATGTACGTTTTTATTCTTTGCTTCTAATGTACCAATACTTACTACTCTTCAATCCTGTTCATTTATTTAGTTTTTTTAGGCATATTCTGCACTGTAGGGGCTGGTTTGTTATGATCCAAATGAGAAAGGTGTTTACATTCTGTGAAGACTGCTTAAAATGCAATTTCTTAGAGCTTAAAGCTATAAGGAGAAAAAGGGTTAGTATAGGTAAGGCTACACTTTCAGACAGTGGGTGCCCTGAGCTGTGCAGCATTGAACAGGCTCCAGTTGGGGCACAGTGCGCGGGACACAGGTATTTTTAAAGAACAGAATAAGAATCCTGTGTCTTGTCTAGGAGTGCCTGTCTTCTACACATCACCCCTGGTTCACTTTTATAGCTTGCATGCCTGCCTTGACCTGTCACTGCAGCACATGACCCCAGGGTTTGTCCCTGCTTCTTGGGAAGCTGCTGCAAGGGCTCAGCGAATAGCAGAATGTTGTCATTACCACCTCAGTCCTGCTAAGTACCCCTCTGGCACTGTGCACAGGTGAAAATCAAGCCTGCCAAACTGTGTTTGGGTTTTTGCTCCTCAGTGGTCCTGAAAACATTGCCCTAGTATTCCCAATTTAAGGGGAGCACAAGTCTAGGGGAGATGTAGTCATACAGGCTTCTTGTCCTGGGAATTTCCATAATGACCTATCCTTTCCTGGAAAGTGTCAGGAGCCCCCACAGATTGTGGGTTTCTCTGCCATATTGATTCTGTTTGGCACATCATGTATTGAAGCAAAGGCCTTCAAAAATCATCTTAAGAAACACAGTCTGGATCTTCCTGCATACTGCTCTGGGTTTTGTTTTCCGTTAGCCTTGGAAGAACAGCTGCTAGAGTCATCTGGGCTTCAGCTCAACACAGCAGAGCTACAAACTGACTTTACTCCTGACTTGCTTATAGTGGAAGCAGTCTCGCCTGCTTTTTTTTTAAGTACATAGATTGATTGCAGTGGTTGTACTTTAAAGTTACAAGAAAAACAGCCTGTTAGTCTAAGGATTTAGGTCACACTTTATATAAAAATGTATTGGGTTTTCTATGTCCATTTTTGTTATGCATAATTAATAGGCTTCAAACATGTATTTTTGCTTTTTAACTACCTAAGCTTCAGGCATAGCTGAGTGCTCTGTCTAAAGTTAGTTTTTTCTGTGGACAATTGAAATCAAGTGACCTAATGTTGAAAGTATATTGTAAATGATAGTTGCTTTCTGAAACCAGAATAAAAGTGTCCTTTGCCTTACACTGCCTCATACCCAGCTGGCTTTTGCTGGGTGTGTGCTTTCTTTGGTTGTCAAGCTTCAGAGAAGCTTGAGGAGAACTTTGATACTTGGTGGTAGAGGATTTTCCTTTTGCAGAACCTGTAATTCTTCAGCAAGCTTTTTCTAAGGTCGTATTGCATCAGAAAAACAAAGCAGATTCAAGCATGAATTTGAAGAAGAAATTTTTAGTTGCAACAAATACTTAAGTTATATGTTGCATCTAAAGGTTGTGTGAATGTGCATGGGTGTGTTTGCCAGTCTTCCCTGTTTCATGCAATTGTGACTTAAACCAGAAATTGTTCAAAAACAATTGTGTGTCTTGTCCCTTAAGAGAAGAATCAAATGACTGTTTTTTTTATTGAAAGGACTACTATGGAAAAAGCATGACAAATATTGAAATGATGAAAAGTAATGCCCAAAAGCAGGGCACATTGATTAAACTGCTTGATATGTCCCATTAAATGTGAAAGTTAGGGAAAATGCTTGTCACGAGGAAGTTTGTGAAAGCCATTTGAAAGTCTCCCCTTCAACCTTGTCCTTTTAGGCCACTTGTAAGCGGGATCATAGACTTGCAATGCTAAAAACACACCGTATGCACATGCAGAAAAAGATAGAAGAGGAGGTGAATCACTTTGAGGAAAACACAAACTGGCTGCATCGTGTTGAAAATGAAATGCGCCTGCTGGGTCAAGATGGGTGTATTCCAAAGGTAAAGTGCCTTTTGCTTCCAGGACAGGTTTCATGGATTTTATGCAACATTTGACCACAGTTAAGAATAGATTTTTTTGATCTCTCTCTTTTTTTAAGGGCCTAAAGAATAGTTAATAAGATTCTCTGCTAAATTTTAAGTATAATTGCCTCAATTGAGCCTCAGACAAACAGTAGAGCTGGCTGACAGGAAGGGATCAGAGTGGATGCAGAAAGAAAACCAAGAGGAAGAGGGAAAGTTGTTCCTCCTGACTTTGAGATTAAGCCAGAAATGAGATAGGTTCAAACCATATGGTGTAATGCGTTTCCCGACATGTCTTACATAGCAGAATGTATATTTTAATGGGGTGGCTAAATTTTTTTGATAGCTTAGTGCTGAGCTCTAGGACATTTCAACAAAGATCTCAGCATTTCAGGAAAATGAATGTAACGAAGACTTTTCCTGACAATGTCACGGAAATCCAGGTAGGGAGCAAGTACATAGGAAAGAACGAAAGCATATTTGGGACATACATGCATAAACACATAGTTGTGGTTATTGGGTTCTCAATGCTAATTGCAGCACATTCATCTCTCTCTTTTTTTTTTTTTTTTTTTTTTTTTCAAAACTCACAAACAAATGTCAAAGTTATAAATAAGAATCAGGCAATTGATTTTTTTTAATACCATAAAATCATATTATAATATATATGAATTCTGTCTTAGCTTTTCCATATAGATCCTAATAATATGCTTATTTATAGTTTAAATTTCTCACCTTCAGTTTGATGTTCAGAAATTTCTGTTAATAATTTCTCAAGGAACTCTCTAAAGATCTCCAGTGTTGTCATTTAAAACTGGAAGTTAAAGACCTGAAAACCCAGATCAAGCACATGGTGTCTCTGGTATCCCTTCAAGAGCAGCATCATAAGCATACAGAAAAGTAAGTACATTCTCATAGCAGGGCTAAGATGACTTTGATATTTGTAACTCCAAAAGTTGTATCTGTAGAACTTAGGCTTAGTGGAAACAGAAGCAGGACTTTTCTCAGAATTCTCTCTGGGTTAAGATTATTATTTTCTTGGCAAAAAGATAGGGAAAATAATTATCAACTCCTGACCTCCACCCATCATTGTTTAATAGAACCAAAGAACTATTGTAAAGCTTCTCACTTCTTTTTCACTTTTTTGTAGTTTTTGAGTTGCTCAAGGTGACTTGTTTTCTGGTTCTGTGCTGAACAATGGACTGTATTTCTCTGTGTGGGGTTGGGGGGACTGAGGCACTTGGGCACTGTAAGAACAAAACATAATTGAAAGTCATTAATGTTTCTTCTTAGTGTTATAGTAATGTTTCTTCTTAGTGTTATAGTATTTTCCAAAAATTAACTCTGCAGCAGAGCTACTGAAACTAAACAAAAAAAGACCTGTTTCTCACAGTTGCAGTTCTAGTAAGCCTCAAATTAGTTATGACATAGTATTTCTCTTGCTTTTTGTTTTCTAGAGTATTAAATACATTGCTTCCAATTCTTCGCAAGCAACACCTAACATTGAAAGAAGCTGGGTTGACAAATACCTTAATTGAGACTGAATTTGCAGAGGTTGAGCAGCTGATTCAAAGACAAAAATCAGTAGTTTGGGCTGACCAAACGGGAGATGAGGAACAAGATCAAAACCATCCAGAAACATCAGTTATCTTTTCATTTCCACAGCTGATGACCAATTCAAACACTCCATGCTGTAAGTACAGAACTCATTTGTTTTCTGTGGAAGATATTTCTAATCGTCCCCCAAATAATCTGGTGAATATGCACTTGGGCAAGTATTAAAGCTGAAAGCAAAAGTGAGTATAAAGTTAACCTTCTGCAAGTTATATACTGTTTTGCATTGAATGTGGAAAATAGCTTGAATTTTTTCTGTGTTTATACATGCTTTATGCATAGACAATGCCCTTCTCTTCTTGTAAAGAATGAGGCATGTAATGGGGCAGATGACATGGTATCCCCATATATGAATGTTGCTAGATTCTCTGGGTGTTATTAGAAGCAGTAGTTCCATTTGAAGCTTTCATATGAGACAGAAACAAGTATCAGTGTCAGTAAGTACTATGATACTCTTGTGATGTTGAAAAATTAAACAAAAGTTTACACATCACTTGAAGTAACAACCTTGAGGGGAATGAGCTTTGCTGTTTATTATAGGTGCACATGGAATCAATGTAATAAAATATTTTATAAGTTTACTTTTCTAAGATATCAAAGGATTCAGCATTTTTATCATGGAACTGACTATGCTGCTGCATCCTGGGTGCAAGGGGGTGAAGAATCCCTAGAGTAAGCTTTCTCTGAGGGATGAGAAGCCAGATCTGAAGGGACAGTTCTCACCAGCTCTGGGCCAATGTGTCTGCTGCCTAGTCAGAATAAAGATACGCACATGCAGGAGCTTCCCAATAACAGCAAATAATCCATAGCAATGGTGGCTATCCACGGAAAGGCAGATTAATAACCCTTCACTTGAAGGAACTGACATTAGAAGCTTGTAGGCATGAAAAATTAGTGAATTCTGGAGCACTGTGCACTTAGTTACCTTCTTTCTTTAGCTAGTATTCTACGTGGCTAGCACTGGGATTGGGAGTTACCCAGGAAAAACCTGTTCTTTCCATGCTCCTGTTAGATGCAAATGTGTGTTGATGGGATTGCAGAGATGCTGCCCAGTGTCTGGCTGTCTGCAGTGTAAAGGTTACACTGTGCTGGGGGTAGCTCCGGCTGGAATTTTTAGCACTCGGATGCAAAGGAATGGAAGGAACGTGTTTGTACTACCTGCTCTGCCCATCGCAGTCAGTGGAGGGAGAGATCCAGCCAAGCTGAAAGCAGTTGCTACCTTGCCCTGTTGTCATTCTTGCCTAGAGTGAGGGCGGTTGTAAATTTGAATTCTTACTGCTTGCTAATAAGCTTCCAGTTCTCTTTCATAATTTATATACTTCTGTTCCACCTTCCTTCAAATTCTCTCTTACAAGAGGTCAGAGCTGTTCTTCAGAAAAGAATGCTTAAATTACTGTTATTAAAATTGTACAGGAACTTTTAGGGCATAAATATTCCATTTCCTTCAAACTATTAGACTTAATTTGCAGGGTTGCATTTGAAGTTTTGTGTAGAAGTTTTCCAGTTATGTTGTTTTAAATGATTTTGAACTGCATGTTCACCTAGGTAAACAGATGCCCTTTTTTCAGTTAAAAGGCAATTGATTTTTCAGCCATAAATGGTGTCCTTGCCTGAAAAGGTCTATGGCAATCTTTTGCAATGGTGTGCATGTTTTTTTTTTTTTTTTTTTTTTTTTTTTTTTTTTGGCCTTTTGGAGTGGGAAGTAGAAGACATTTGTTTGATTTCTTCTCTCCCGATAGATACAGCAGAAAACATGGTAGAAACAACAGTCCTCCTAACAGTCTCTGCTCAGAGAAGAGGTATTCTTAAACAGTGTTTTTACAGTATCATTTTCATCTTAAGGTGTTCTTAAAAAAATACTATGGGTGTTGAGCCACTCATTTCCATACATATTAGAAAGTGGATGTAGAAAAAAATAATCCATCTACCAGCTTTAAAATAATAGTGTAAAAATTGTTGTGTAGAATACAAGCACAAAAGAATAGCTCTTCCGCAGTTGTTTGTTAGGAATTGATTCTAAAAGATTGAGCTATTAAGTACTTCTCCTATGGGAATACGTTTCTCTTGCACAGGGTATAAATATCAAAACTTCTTAGAGATAAACATAAACTAGGAAAGTTACATTAGCGTGGGAAAATGTGAAGTAGTACAAGAACAACATTCTAATCAGAAATAGCAAGGATGTAGTAATTTCTCTTTTCCTTTAAAGAGGCAATAAATTATTTAAGAACACAATTCTTTCTCCTTAAAGTCATCTCAAAAGTATGCTTGGCAAATGTTAGCAAAAGCTGACCTAAGAACTTGGTGAACAAATAAAAAGGAAGATTTATACAGATACACTCACACCTTTGGTGCACAGATATTTTGTTGTTTATAACTTGTTCAAGGTGTTTGAAAGGAAATACTACTTTGCATTCACATCAAAAAACCCACCTGTTACAAAATGATGATTATTCCTCACTTAAAAATCTGTTTTTCACATAAACGTAATTGCACATATTTCAACTTTTCAACACGAAAGAGCAATACAGTCCGTATCTTAGCTCTTGATTATTTTCCATCTCAAGTTGAGAACAGTCTTCATATTGTTTTAATTTCCCATTTCATATAAACATTTGTTTAATTGTGGTAATAGCAGAAGAGTTTGCTTTTGAAATAATTTGGGGGAGAAATATAGATAACTTATGGCAAAAAGATTTTCATTCATAAAAACAAAGAGTTACAGACAAGCTTGTAGTACATGAGAGAATATCCATAACCCATGCTAGATCAGCTGTTAGCAAACGTAATGTCTTGCATAATCTTGAAAAAAGTACTTGGGGAGAGAAAATTGATCAAAATGAAATATGCTAGTCATGTAGAAAATAATAGTGGCTGTATGATAAGATTTATAAGGAAAATATGCCGGTGAAGGCATACAGTGTTAATGATTGCATTTCCTTTGTTTAAGTTAAAAATATTAAACAAAATATATAATAGCCATGTATTATCCATATATGGCAACTTCAAATTAGTTACTCTAATAATCTACAAGTTATTATTTAGTCACGACATGTTTAAAAGATGACAGGAATACAGAAAAACATCTATACTTAAAGGAAAGTGCTGAATTCCCCACGTCATAAAGCGTAAGGCACTAATTATTGCAGAAAATGTTTTTCATGATATGATAAAATTCTGCTGGCAGCCCTGTTAAGTCAAATTTCCCAATTTCTCTCTATTTGAAATGTAAATTAATTGTTACTGAGTGGTTTAACTTAAAGAAAATTGGAATGCTCTAAGTAGCATAAGTAGCTTGCCTTTGTATGTAACTGTGCTGAGTATAGACATTCTCCCCAGAAATCTGATGCAGCTGAATCATTTCTGTGCAGGAAAAGCTACAACAACAGGGCTTCACCTTTTCATTGCTTTCTTAGGGAATTATGTACATTCTGCTAGTTGATCCTAAAAGAGGCCAAATTAGTTGATCTAAAAAAAGAAACAAAGTCAGTGATGGTAGGGGTGATTTTTATTCCTCACTTTACTGAAAGCAAATAGCTTATGAAATAAAATTTTGAATGATATTCCAAGTGCATATACCCTATTGGGTGAAGGTTAATAAGTTTGTGTTCCCGATATTAGCTTTTTATAAGATATTAATTTCTACCAGGAATTTCAAAACGCTAAGGACTTCAGGTGATTTCTTTGCTCCCTAAGAAGACATTTTTTCTGTGGAAAAGCTTTCCTATATATAAGGTGGTACATCATCTAACTGGAAGAAGAAAGAATCGAGATCCTGTCTGGCCATTCATCCGACGTATTTGTTCCTATGTTCAAATTATCAAGGCAGTCAATTCTTGTGCTAAAAACTCCCTGTTTCTTGGAGAAAGCTAATTAAAGCTTATTGACTTTGACAAAACATGTGTATCTTTGCAGTACTGATTTTAACATGTATTGTTAAAGTGTGCAAAGTCATGCACAACCCAACCGTTTATATCAAGTGAAAAGGAACTATGAAAACAGGGTAAGTTTATTTAAAAAGAAAAAAAAATCAGGCACCCCTTTTTGGGGTGTTTGCTTAATGGAGAGCTGTACAGTGCTCACAGAGCACGAGCTGTTGGGTAGATGGAGAGCTATGACTGGTATTTGCAGGTATTTCTGTGAATGGGGAAGTTCTTGGCACTGTTTCAGGCATCCCATTTCCGGCAGCCTTACTGTACATTAGTAATGAGGGAGCAGAATTGATTTACAGGAAAAAAATGGCATCCATTACCTCTCCTAGTGGCAAACATCCGAAACTAACGTCAATTTATTACCTTGCATTGGCAGAAACAATTGGGATGTAGTTGCATGTAGTAAAAAATTGATTAAAAGCAAGAAAAGAGTATTTCTTGCCTATAGCAAAGACTTGTCATATGTTGAAGATCCTTTGTGACTTTATTCTCATGCTGTGTAAAACAGTTCTTACGGCCACCGGGACTCACAAGAAAGCAGCCTGGCTTTTAGTCTTTCTCATTGCAGCTGTTGTTTGTATGCCTGTCGTTAAATTGACCATCACAGTGATGCCTTTGGGTCACATGAATATTAAATAATTGAAATTCATTCACCAAACCTCATTTGTGATTTGGAATTCCATGACTCAGTTGTTAGAAGAATCAAAATGTGTGATTAGTATAGTAATTGAATCAATCATTGGTAGCTCAGAAATGTTTTTTGGAAGTGAATATATTAATATTTGATTTCACTTTAGCAGAACAAGCTGGCAGACTTAATTTAGCACAGTTTCCAGAAATAATCCCGTTATGCATGTATTAACATGAGTTCTAGAAGAAAGTCTTGGCCATTATTTTGTCCCAAACATCAATTAGAGCTCACCCAATTCATCACAGCTCACTTGTCAGGAGCCCTGCTTACTTGTGCTGTGACTCATATTTTCTAAATAGCATGTCCTGCTTTTCACATTAACTTGCAATGCTGGAGCCAATAGTAGTGTTTCTCTCTTGATAAATCTATTCTTCCAAGGACTCGTTTGCAACAGACAATATGATGAACTAATGGCCAGAACCTGCTCATAGTGTTTGGCAAGGGGTAGTTAGCAGA